GATAAGTGTGAGCTCGATAGGTCTCCGGGTGACCATATTGTTCCCCCTGCAAACAGTCTCATCAAAGAAGTATCCTCCAGAACGAAGATCAACTACTCACTTCGGTAGGAACTCGTGGCCGACAATAGCTTCTAGCACAGAGCTCTTTCCAGCACTCTGGCTCCCAATGACGACAATACTCGGTAATGTCAGACTGTCACTCTGGCCAATGCTGAGGAGAACCGATCGAATCCCAATGAGTTTCTTTGTGAGGTTCATCAACTCAGAAGGCTTGTCAGATGATCCATCCGAAGAGTCGGTGCCGTTTGCCTTGCTGTCCATTGGAGACGATGTAGTAGCCGCGATGAGAGCTGCTAAGGCTGGCCCGTTGTTATTATCCTTGTCGCCACCATTACGCGAGCTTTCCTCGGATTCGGATTGTTCGCGTTGTCCGTCTTCCTTCTGTCCAAAAGCTTTGAACAGATTGTTCAAGAACTCCGGTGTTTCGACCACAGGAAGCTCCACAAAAGCCACCTTGTTCCGAACAGCGGAGACCTGGTCGGAAACAGATTCAAACGCGTCGGCAGCAGCGGCTTGCATGTCCTTGATCCATGCAGTTGACTTGTTGCGAACCTCTGTGATCGAGTCCCAAAATAAGCGTCACGCAGCGAAGCGCATCGAACGTTGCACCCACCCTCAACCTTGTAGTTGACATAACCAACAGCTCCAGCTCCGACAGTAGCAGCAGCGGCTGGCACCCTAAATGCCCTGGCTACGAAGCGTGGTAGGGCACTATACGAGATAGCCCGAGCATGAATGTATCGCAAGGACCTGACGACGGGAGCAGTCAAGCGTGGGCGTATCCGGGTCGCCGAGGATGAGATCAAGGTTGTGGCAGTTCTCGCCCTTGGTTGTAACACTGAACTGGGCGCTTTGACAGCTTTGCGTCTAATTAGTGAGAGCATAGGTGGTGGTCAGCATGGAAATGGATAGACTTTCCCGCGGTGCGGATTTTATGACCTTGCAATCTTCGCGTATGCCGAACTTCCAGCACGACACGCAACCCCCCTCCAACTGGCCGGCCGATGTGATTTACCTGTCGAAACAGAGATACGCATCTCGGCTTCCTTCGGCCCTCCAGTACAAAGTACTGCCGAAAGATTCGGTTCCTACGCCACTCACCAGATGTCGCATGGTGAAAATTCAAGTGATAACATCACCCACACACCCGGCCAAAGGACAGAGGGGTTTATTTGCAGCCCAAAAGATACCCCCAGCGACTCACGTACTTGACTATCTTGGGGAGGTCCATTCGGATGACCGCCCTGATTCCGACTATGATTTATCCTTACTTCGCCTGACGCCGTCGGAATTGTTAGAGTTGGGTCTAGGAGATGAAGCCGCCAGTATCGGTGTGGATGCTCAGAGGATGGGCAATGAAGCCAGGTTTATCAATGACTATCGGGGAACGGGCGTTGCGAAACCCAACGCCGAGTTCCGAGATACCATAGTCGGCGAAGAGTTGAGGATGAGTGTCTGGAGTGGGGCAAAAGGGATTAATAAGGGGGAGGAGATTCTCGTCTCCTACGGAAAGTCGTGGTGGAATGCCAGGAGTGAGGACAATTGACCCGCAGGTAATCCTGACTGAATGTACCACCGTTGATAAGCACCACCAATATGTATTACAGTTTCTTCATTGCAAGAAATCGAAAGAGAGAATGTACCTGTTGTTACGTCGCATTGAGTAAAGGCTTAAACTCGTGCGGAAAGATCTCTTACCCTTTGTCCGCAACAAGCCCTCTATCTTTGAGGACGATAGTGTACTGACCATGATTTTGGTCATCAGATAATTTACTCAAGCTGGGCTGTAACACATAGCTCACCTTCAATACCCAATGCATCCTGATTGCAGGTCGCTTTTCCTCGCGCAACTTTGCAAATGAGGGAGGCAGTGGAAGTTGTTTGGAAAATTCTTTAAGGAGAACCTCGATTCCTTCGTATGGCACTTCCAAAATCGTGTAGGTGAGATAAGTGAGGAAGTAATTCAAGGCTGATGCATACCTCGATCGTCCGAATGACTGTGCAACTCAATCCCCTCGAGCTTGGCCAATTCAGCGAGGTGTGGCGGAAGCTCACGATCGAAGTTGAGCTGATCAATTGCTGGTCGTCGTACGGCAGCTTCGTCATCCGACGTGCATGTTGGTAGCTGACTTAGTAGCCGTTTGAGATGGAAGGATGAAAAATCGGAGACCCCGATCTTCTTCAACGAGCTATTCGACGACAGGTGCTGAAAGCAAGTTATCGCAACAGTGAGTGCACTATGTGGGAAGGACGTACCTTCCAAATGCCGGCTTTGGCTAGCACATCAACCTCATCGGCCCCTGACTCGCACTCCTCATCGCCACCGGCCCACCTTATCTTATCGAAGCCAATAACGAATCTATCGATGGTTTCGAAGTCCGTCGCTTCCTTGACACGCTTTAGTGCCTCGTCGACCTGCAGGCACCTGTCGACATTGTCATGCGATCCGTAGAATCGGAGCTTGACGCTGATTTCAGGATTAGCCACAGGCCCCAAGGGGGTATATTTGAGTGCGGATGGGCGAGGTATGATAAGCAACTTGTTGGGCTCTTTGGTGTTTGATTGGACAGGACCGGTGGCGGGCGTCACCCCTGGGGCATTTAAGCTGCCACCATCAGCCGTGGAGTTCAATCCGTCTCCTACGACAACCCACGAGCAATCATCCACACATCCATTAACGCACGGATCTAGAGCTCTGTGGAGTGCAAGATGGACTGAGTGAAGCGCTTCGTTGGGGTTTGGCTGCCGTAGCGCAGGATTCCACGAGATGGGATTTCGTGTAATATTCTGAGTAAAGATGAGGGCCTTGGTCGGGTGTGCCGGTTCGGACGGATCAGTGGAGGACGAGCACATCATGAGCGGTCGAAATTGCGTCGGTCTGGGGATGAGAACAGATTTGAAGATCCCGAGCAGGCGTAACGGCGAAGCAACATGACGCCATGCACTCACCTACGACAAACATCCCGTCGGAAATACTGCCATGCGGGCGTGACCGTGCTTTTCGCCGTGCGGTACTCACTTCGGCATCCTGCGGTATTCAGGTCGAAACCTTCGGCGCGCATGACCGCCCGCAGTGTTCCCAACAAAACGTTCCAATAGACTGGGACAAACGTTGGATCGTACAACTAGGAACGGAATCTAGTGTATTCAACATGTAATGTCTGTGGGTACCCTAGTTCACTAGATACCCCCTCCGTCCCAAATCATGCTCATCCGCGGTGCCCAGTCTTGATGACCTAGCTCCTCCGAAAACACGAACGAAGACGTCGAACAGAGGTCCCAGCAAGCTCAGATGACCGCCCGATCTGAACCGAGTCACATTCCGTCTAGGGGACGGGAACGCGGACAGGGAGACTGAATAACCCAGCAAGCCCGAACTATAAGTCCTACAGATTCCAGCCAGGTCAGCGCCTTCCTCCAACAGTTCAAAGGATGCAGCCAGTCAACTTACCCCAGGATTTGTTCAAAAAGCAAAATTTCTTGCGTAGAACGGGCTAAATAAGCAATGTCTGTAGCAAATACGAGCACACGGTACCTGATTCTGTTCGCGTGCTCTTAAACTCCCCCTGTCGGGTACCCGATTCCTTCCTTACACCATGACCGCCATAGTACCCAGTCTGGCTACGATCGACGATTTTGTTGTTGGGAGCGTTGGGAGAAGTATTCCGCCGTCGCCGAGACTGGATCACCTTGGGAGGTTCTTGAGCTCGTACTCTGGGAGCGAGTGAGTTACACCAATAAAAGCAGCGCGAAAGTGGCAATCCCTAACCCAATGCATGTTCTCACAGTAAAATGTTCATGGTATGTGGTTGTACTTTGTCGCTGTGTCATGTTGCTCATGAAATACAAATGTTAGGTCATACAATACACGCTCAAGTTGATCGAACCTATCATGGCGTGGCGCGCTCGCATACAGCATCGCTACGGCAAGCGATCAGAACCTGTTAGTCGCTCCGCTCCCGGTCTTGCAAAGATAGCTTCTTTGATAAGCGACTCTCGGATGTTGTGGCGGCTTTTCGGTGAGCCATTTCTGGCTCTATTGTCGCGTCGTGCAAGTTAACGCTCCATAACAGGTCTGGTACCCATATTCCAATGGTTATCACAACTTGAGCGCGTCCCTCCCATTAGTCGGCGGTTGCGCACCATCGAGCGGCTCCAAGCATTGTCCATGCTTGTTTATTATCCGTTGGAGCATCTCTACTATTTCGGCGCGCACTCCATCTACAACATTTCGCCCGCAAAATTGGCCTCCCTCTCCCTCTGGTCAACACGAGCATGGACCGTGTATATTCTCCTGCACTTCCTACACCTTCGCGAGGACGTAGCACACCTCATTGCCAGGGGTCAAGCCTTGCGACGTAAACTAAGGCAATCGAGGGAAGTGAAGGAGAAAGCGGGATTAGATATAAAGGCGCCCGACAACGAGGTCGAAGCGGAAATACAGGCGATTAAGAAGAGGCGAACAGCCATCCTCGTCGACTTTGTCGTCAACCTCGCATACTTCCCGCAAACCGTGCACTGGTAACACCCCATTCCAACTCAATTAAATCTTCGTGCACTGATCTGTCGCTGTTACTAGGTCACTTGAAAAGGGCTACTTCACAAATGACGTAAGTTCGGATTGCCTGAATAGGGTCTTCCGCTAACACGCTTCATGGTCATAGATCTGGATGTCTCTCTTTGGGTTCATTGCCGGTATAGCATCGTTCAAAGGGGGCTGGGATGCAACCGCTTAACTATCAAAACCGACTGCCTGCCCCTGGGGTTCATTTAGATGACTTAGAGAGGAGCCTAGTCTTGACAACCTACAAAATCGCTATAACTGGCTGCTAATCCAAAATTGACATGAGATCGCCGTATTTGAGGCATGAAAGCCGCACTCGTGTCCATATAAACTAAGATAAGCCACACGTGAAGTTCATATACTGGGGCAAAAAGGAAGGTCGATCTGGGATTCGAACCCAGGTTGCCGGAATGTGATCATCCAGGAAATCAGAATCCGGAGTGATAACCGCTACACTAACCAACCATCTTAAACGCCGAATTCCGTCTGATCGCTAGGATGACAATCATACGCATGAGCAGATTCTTCATTCTGATGAGTGTGGTTATACAACGATATACAGAGCATGAGCAGCACATGAAAAACGGAGATGGAAAGCAAGAAAGCATCTAGGTAAACATTTCTAACCTGCGGTCAAGCAAACAGCGCGCATCGCGGCCAAGCTCGCCGCTCCTCTATGGAAGGGCAGGTCAACAGTGAACAAAACGTCGCTCCGGTCGCCGTTAAGGTAGACAGGGAGGTTGACTACGGCAGTGTCGACGGCACGGGGATCTTGTTGAATCCATCTCAACTGTGACGGTGACAAGCGGAGATTGGTTCCATCGTTCAGTTCGAGGTGATCGGTGGACCACGCGGCACCTTCCAACACAAGTCCTACACACAAGAGAGTGAGGTTTCATCCATGTTGCCAGGTAAAAGTAACATACCTTCGATGACGAATCCACTAGCATCCCCAGTCGTCTCCAGGTCCAAGCGTAGGGTCAAGGTTTCCAAGGACCACGAATTCCGATGAGCAACGCTTTGGCGCGTAGCCGTCACGTACGCCTCTGGGAAGAAGAGACCTCCTAGCCAGACTTCGACCCCATCCAACGACATGAGTTGTGCGACACGCTCCAGTTGCGCCAATCGCAAACCAAAGTTTGGTAACCACTTCGCAACGGACATGCCGCGACTGACTTTGTAACGGTTCCAGTGTTCGGGAATTGTGCCTAACGCAGCATATCAGCAAAAACAGGTGAGGGACGACGGATTAAACAAACTTTTCGTAAGCGAACTCATCAGGTTTCGCAGGTGGTTCGTTTGCTTAAGGCTTCCTTCGCAAACTTTCACAACATCTGCCAGATCGCGCTTAACTTGTGACAAAAGTTTGCGACCGATCAAGGCTTCGCGAGAGAAGAAGCGGTATAGAGGATCGTGTACGTTGTTGGTCCGCAGTGAGGAAAGAGCCTGCGCGGAGACTTAGCAGAGTTCGACACAGGCATAGGAAGGTCACATACCTCAGGAAGTCCTTCCAACCAAACCTTGCAGTTCTGCAGTAGAGTACGCATCCAAGCCGGCTGTTGGACCGCGCCACGTTCCGCGAGACTAGTTCCAGACACGACTTCATCATCGTCGGCCAACGTTCGCATCTTCCGCAATTTCGAGAGTAGTTGGTTGCCTGTCACAAGATAATTAGCAACAAATCAAATAATCAAATAGAAGCCGTGCCTTGGGAAACAGCGATGACGCGCTCCGCCGTTGGCGGGAGACTCAACCATGAGGGAGGTTCTTTGTCCGGTAGACCGTTGACCCAGGTGAGGAAGTGATCGAGCTTCGTGCCTTCTGGAATCGGCAAGCCTTGGCCGCCTTCGGTTTGAGGAACAAGATCGAAGTCGACATTGTACGCTTGAGGTGTGAAGAGGGCATCGATGAATGAGTCAAGCACCCGCTGGTCAAAGTCGCTATCCACACGACCTCCATAGACGGCCTGCTTGAGCAACGTCCGCACAGCGTCCCAAGGAATAGAGGCAGGATTGATGTTGGCTCGACCATGAGCAACCGATGAAAGCCATGTGTCGATGGTTCCAAAGGCGGATGCCATGTCGGAATCGTTGAAGTCGTATGCTTGAGACCAACCCAAAGGCACGTATCGCAGACGCTCTTGGACCACAGCATGGAACCACGCCAACAAGAAGTACAACCTGATCTTTTCAGCAGGGCCTTGTGCCAGGCGTGCGGGTGAAATGCTTTGCAGTGAGTCCAAGAGGTTCGCCTTGATTCCTGGAGGGGGTTCGTTCATGAGGATGCGGGATTGTCGAAGAATGTTGACGGGAATGACGGGGTTGGCCTCCATCGTCAGGAAGAGGCGGAACTCTCGGTGGGGGTTTAGACTTTGCAGCCTTTTCTCTAACTGACTGAGCCACGACGGAGCCAAATGTACGTTCTTCAACAGGACCCAAGTTCCTTGACGGGCTGCACCCGCAATGGCTTGCTCCGCCAAGGTAAAGCCCTCTTGCGAGCCCATGGCGACAGAAACACTCCGAGCACCAGTGTCGCGAATGAGGTTTTCTACCCTGTAACTTGCATCGTACCCCGGAACAGACACAAGGGAGACCGGCGTAGTTGGGGATACCTCTTCGGCAACCATAACCTTCAGGTCGAAGGCTGACAAGCTCGACATATCCACGGTGAAGACCTCCTTGACAAAGCGGCTAGTGGCTTGCAGTAGTCTGTCAGGGCGGAAGCATTTGATGACAAGTAGAGATCGTGCGGCCTCTACGACGGCTACAGAACAGAACGATGAGTAAATTGCAAGGGACACTGGGAAAGTTACTTACAAGAAGGAACCGGATCCCAAGGCCAAGGAACACTACTTTCGGGACTTTCGTTGTTGAGGAACTTGGACCACTCCGCCTCGTTAGCCACAATGTGCGAAGGGACGCCTTTGAACATCGGATTCGTCGCGTAGATGTTGAGACGCTGTTGTTGGTCATATGTCAACAAGGCGGAAGTTTCTGTGGCGGCTCCGCCACCAACGGCCGCCTCTCCACTGTCAAGCAAGAATTCCAATTCCTCGCCGATCGCATCTTCCTCGTTTCCGCGAAGCTTGATCTGGGCAAGCAAGACGGCCAAGAGGACGTGATCGCTGTGCAATAAGGCGCGTGATGTTCGCTTGTAGATCGTCAAGAACAAGTCACGGAGCAGGATCTTGAGACGTTCTTCTGGATCTCTGACTCCCTTCAGGTTAGGGTTGTGGTGTAGGATATAATCGAAGATGTCGAGGAAGAAGCGCAAAGAAAATTGGTAGAAGTGGTTGATGAGGTTCAGTTGCTCCAAGACGAAGTAGACGGCGCTGCACGCTTGGGCAAGAGGCAAGTACTCCGCCGTTACGCGTTCAACTTCACGCATGATGACGTCCGTCTCTTCCACCTTTCTCGTGATTTCCGCGGCTTCTTTCTTCAACGTTTCCAGAGTCTCGATCACCTTATCGTCATCAAGGATGTTGCCTGTCGACTCGTTGAGGGCTTGTAGGAGGAGCTTCTCAAGGGTACGTAGCCGGACTCGGAATTCTCCTTGAACCTTCATGAGGTCGGTGCGGCGTTTATCAGTATCAGGTCTCTCGGCCTTCAGTACTTGGTCCAGAGATTGACTCTGCAAGCTGCCGCGTGTCATGGTGAAGTTAACAAACGTCACACGGCTGCAGATATCGGGAGAGAATTCGACCGATGGGTCTCGAGTGGAGAGGAACATGGTGAAGGACGGAGAGAAATCGATGTCTTGGTTGCCCAATCGAATAAGGACGCGACCTCCGGTTCGTCTGATTTCGTTGTTGAGTACGGCATTGAGGATGGGGTCCAAATGTTCCACGTCCTGGATCAGGATAGGATTTCCGAAGCGTAGCGCGCTTTCCAGCACTTTGAGGAACGCCTCATCCAGGAAGCTCGTGACCGTGATCTTGCGGCTCTTGTATTCGTTGAGTAAGAAGTTCGTTGCTTGACCAGTCGGATCGATGATGAGAGGATAACGATTGAAACGTTTGAGCATGATTGCGTTTTCAGTACAGAGGTTGTCGGTCGGCAGGGCGTTCGATTGCCAACTAAGACGGTCATCGGCCGTAGACAAGTATTCAGGGAGGGAGAGTTCGGGTTTGAACGTGATACCGGCGTCGGAAAGGTGTTGGGACCACTCCTGCCACATGACTTCGCGGTAGTGTTGGTCGAAGAAGCCAGCATACGCGAGGAAGGCGGAAGATAAAAGAACATCGCCAACGATGGTGCTCATTTCCGTGTCGAATGCCCGACTGGACGACTCCCAACGCGCTTTCTCAGACGATAAGCTTCCAAGCAGCTTCATACTTCGGTCAACCTTGGATTGCACCTTCTCCATCTCGGATTTGATGGATTGCGTCTGGCTGATGAGAATTGCGTATTCTTCTTTATACCGAGCGATACTCGCTTCGAGCTCCTCAATCATGGCGATGATCGTCGTGGCTTGTTGTTCGGTTGACTTGGCTTGAGCTTCCAACGACTGGACCTCGTTCCTCAGAGGCTCGACACTATCTAAGATCTCCGAGAACTTGACTTGAGCAATGGCCCACTTCACCAGCGGTCCACAGGCTTTACTGGCCCTATTGACGTTCTCGAAGTTGTAGGCGGGTCGACTAAGGTATTCCTTCTTCATGAACTCCCGGAGGTTCTTCGTCATTTGTTGGTTGGTATCAAAGTTGACGATATTGTTGATGAAGTCGTCACGACGAATGATTCCTTGCACTGTCCTCCAGCTGTCAATCTTGTTGCCAAGCATGTAGCAGACAGACTCCATAGTCATCTTCACGGCTTCTGGGGGGTTCGCCATTCCTCTCACTTCGGTGAGATGTTGCCTCTTGATATTTTGTACCGCGGCTTGCGCTTCAACAACGGCAGGTTCAGCTTCCGCTAAGTCTCGCAGGACCACTGCACGGCGCTCTTCGATAGTCTTTTCCTGGTCTCGCAACGCGGCTTGGATCTCGATGGAAGTCGCCTTCTTCGATTCAGCTTCTTGTTGATCGGCCACCATGCGCTTGAGTTTCTCGTTAGCCTCTGCGTCCTTAGCCTGGAGCTCGGCTCGCTTGATGGCAAGGCTCTTGCGTAGCTCCTCGACTTGAGTGACGGTATCTCGCAGCTTGTCCAGGCCGACGTGAAGGTGACGTTGTTGTTCTTCCAACTCGTCTCGCTTCTCACCGAACAATCGAACGTAGTGGTTGATGCTACAAATATGAACGTTAGAGACGATTCTCAAAATGTAAGGGGAAATTGTGAACTCACAAGTCAAGGTAATGGCGAGGCGTGACGTAGTTATAACGACCCTGGCGTCGGCTAAGGCGAGAGTTGATTTCATGTAAAGAGGAGTGGACATAGACGAGAGCATTGACAACTGCGGTACGGTATGTTGGCGGCATGGCGAGTTGGCGGTACGCCATCGGGAAGTTGAGGGGAGGTGTATACGAC